TCGAAATATATGACGTCATACACACTGTTTGTCGTAACTCAATTCGATGTTATATGTATAAACAGCAACAAGGGAACATCAATAAACTTTCATATAAATTAATATCTATACAAATATGGGACCTCCTGAAGTATGCGCACCAAGATGGCGCACAACCTGAACTCAGGTTAGGATTCAGGTAGTGCGACATCTTGGTGCGCATACTTCAGGGAGTACCCAAATATAAAGTAAAACCCTCCGCTTCCACTTTACCTGGGTATGGCTAAGCCAATTAGAATAGAAAATAGTTTGCATTGGTGTACTCTACCACAGTTAAGTTGGAGTGAAAAGAATCATTTCCGGGTGAAAATCTAACGTTCTTTTGCAGGTAGCCGATTAAATTGACAAAAAATACGGCTATGTATTTTGGTTAAAAGCGTGTTGCTATTTTAAATCACAACCATTTATCCGCTGAAATTTTTCACAATTTTCCAAGTATTCATAGCCATTACATATATATGACATGAGCTGCCCAGAATTGCACTTTTCATACAACAAAACGCTGTTTTAACAATCTGAGTCAACAATGTTTATATGGATGACACACCAATTTACAAGCTGTTCATAATAACTGCATTTTAAGCTATAAAGCCACTCTGCCAACACTATAGAATTGCATGCTTCGATGGTACGGCTGTAGCTTACTGCATATATATTACTTTCAAATGACATCTGTTCGTCATGGAATAAGTAAAATATGACAACTAAGTTAAAAATGAAACGAGGGTAGAAATTGGTGTGATGGTGCACTCTCTAATCATATCGCATTCAAAAGGATATAACCTGTGTCACAGGGATATAATCATGGTTTATCTGCGAGTGCATTTATCGCTTGGATGCGGTCATTAAGTATAAACACGGTTCGGAAAAACGTAGCTGAGGTATATATATCTATGACATGAATTTTTCCACACAGTTCAACAAGTCCTGTCCTGGCGTAAATATTTTTCGGTTAAATATAAATCGATCATATACAAATGCAGAAAGTAAGAAAATTTGAAACCCTCCGTTTCAGTGTTTCGCGATCCTGCATGTGGGAGGCCATTGTTACCCGTGCAGCAATAACTCAATGGAATTAGATAAAGACAAAAGAGATTTTACTTCGTAAGAGACGATGCGATAGCTTACAAAATACCGCAATCTGGAGCGAACTAGCTGAGTGAAAATCTCGGAAGTGAAGAGTACTGGACACAAAATATCTTCACAGAACACTATATTTTAGTACATAATGCCTTAGGCACCGCACAGTCTCAAATACGACGTTAATCCTAATTCTAGAATTTCAGGAAACATAGCGACCGCCGACCGCATCTCTTTCGAATTTCAAAAAGATTAAATTGAGGTCGAATGCGAGTACCTCTCAAACTCTCAATAAAAACAAACGCTTCGATTTTCGTATAATGGTGTGATAACAAGTGCACTTCAGAAGACCATTATCTATTGAAAACCAATTTCTTCGTTGCGCTGGTTTGAAGCTAATGCACTTTGAGTGTGTACGATGTTCCTCTTTAAATTTGTAGTAAAATTTCACCAATTAGACGTTGATCGCCTTATCACCTAATACTAAATAATAAAAAAGGGTAACACTAGTGTTTAATTAGGATTGAATTCTGCTTACTCACGTTTAGATATTTATTCAGCTGAAATGTGATTTTGCTTGCAATAATAAACTAGATTAATATTCAATCGAAAAAAAAATAACCGGGCATTGCCCACAACAAAAGCCATCAATGGATTTTCTTCAGGTGATTACCTCGCAAAGAATCATGATGTTGTAAGCTCAAAAAGTGTAAAATCTTTCCGAATATTAATGTATTCCGTACCTTATTTGCTTTTGACTATATTGAATATAGATTCGATTTTATTAAATCCATGAACACGTAATATCGATATACTGATTATCATCAGGCTAAACGCAAATGTTGCTACGCGCGGGGCGTGGCGGGTTAACTTCACATTCCTTATAGCTCTTAATTGATTTATGATTTTTCGTCCCCGTAATTAACTCACGATTACAAGTTGAAAACTCGAAAAAAGTTTGTCTCGATTTGAGACATACTGTACATCTCAAGGGAGACACACACATCTCGTTGTGGCTCATTTCAGCTTACATAACCACAGTCTCTTTTGGAAATACATTTTCTTTCCTGGTCTCGTCTAGCACCTATATGTGTAGGACCTAATATTAGTTCCATATATAAGACCGCTGAATTTGTACTTAACATAACTGCTGACATACGTATTCCGCGCGGTTAAATTCTCTCTTTGATGTAATTTTAAAAGATGTCCTCCTTTTATTCCGCTACGAAAATACATCGAAAGCTTCGGGAAAATTACGATGACGTAAAAATAAGAAAAGAATTGTGCGCGCACGGCGGAACGCCCGAGTAAAAAAGAAACGTTTTTTTTTTTACGCTTCGCGGTCAATTGATGGGACTTGAAAAGAATCACGAGTGCAAACCGTCATAACAAACATCGTGAAAAGAGTCACGTGAAACGATGAGAATAATATTATTCGGCTACCATGCCAGAGATCATTTTGATGCAAATATGTGTTTCATTCAATTTGGACAATAAATCGTTCGTTGCCTTGTAAACGATTTCCCTTTTATTGTATTGTAGAAAATTACCACACTCTTACTATTAGACGAACAACGTCACTTTCATACTCGAGGCATAGCGATAGAAACTACGTGGGAAACTGATACCACGGGAAGGTAATCAAAGTAGCATGTTTTTTCCATTGAGCATGCTTGTAATTGTGTTTCAGATTGTCGGAGACTTTCGCATCTCCAATACCAGAAGAAAAACATTGCGGCTCAGATTTCTCCTTTCTAACTTGTAGCTATTCTAACCGATCTCCATAGTCAGTTTATTTCAAGTTCGTGTTCATGATAGTATACCTTTTGAATGAAAAATTTAAACATATTCGTTTGCTCTTAATATTCTTCCCTCATGACCATTCCTCGTAGAATGTTCTAAAGCAGCGTTTCCCAAACTTTTTTGGTCACGAAACACTTACGCTTTTTATCTCACCTCGCGGAACACCAGAAAATAAAAGGATAAAATTGATAAAAAAAAATGGTGTAATGCAGCGGCTCCGAAAGGGTGCGCCGCGCACATAAACATAGCTAAATTATGACTATTTCACTTATTGCATTTATTATAAATGTGTTATTGTTTCTTATTTTAAATGCTGTGTATTTGAATCAATAAATTCATTTTACCTTTCTATGTCGTTTACTTTCTATTACGTAGTGTTTGCCTCGAATGTAGCGTAACAATGGAGATATAATTACTTGCTGCGATTTCGCGAGCTGCGGTTTATTTATTTGCTGAATTGAGTTTAGCGAACATGAGTGATTTTTGAGCATTTTAAAGTAAAACCAGACAGAGATGGAAGAAGAAGAGTTGACCTTTTGCCTCTATTTTTTTAGGGCTACACATTTGCCTATAGCAAAATCCAAAAGTTTGCTGTAAATTTGATGATGAACTTGACAGTCAAAAACCTAGGCCGACAGTTAACGAAAATAGCACTACCCTCAAAAAGTCCACTTTAGGCCGACGCTGACGCGATATTGACCGGTCACCAGTTGGGCTACAATTTCACGATCATGAGATCGCCATGGCGACCAATTTAGTCGTGATTTGATCCCTTTTCCACGGAACACTCGGAAGACGCTCGCGGAACACAGTTTGGAAAACGCTGTTCTAAAGTAACGTAATCCATTACCCTGTACTTCAACACAATACACTGAAGAATACAAGCCTTGCCAATGCGCACCTTCATGCTAAAGACCTTCCAAGTGCAATACCCTATTGCAATCTATTTATTCTCCGCAGCACTATGTTTTATGCATGAAAGTAAAATACCAATTACTTTTGTTTGTTGATAAGAACTGTTTATTTTACAGTGTGGCAACATGACAGGACAGTATGAACACAACGCGATGCTTAAATAATTGATAGGTCTCGTTACCGTAATAAGATTAACTTTTCTTAACCACTGTTCAAGCTTTGCCGCATTGTCATTTGGGACAGAAAATAATTAATCTATATTAATAAATGGCTCTTACCATTTAAAGTAATTTTTATGGTGGTATAAAAGAGCACTAAATAATTATAGAAGAACAATTCCAATGATTCTCTGTGTAACAAATTTAAGAAGAGGATGAAAATTGAAATATTTGATGATAAATATAATAATAATATTGATCGCTTGTTTGAATCAACAAAACATCAGTTTCGGATTCTTTAATTGGATGTTTTGGATGCTCCTGTCGGTTAGTAGTATGACTTTTCTGCCATTGAAGTTTGGAGGTCAACCAATTTGGAATAGATTATTCATGTTGAGAAAAATGATTTTTTGTAGCATAAAGGTTTCAAAAATGTTTTCTACAAAGAATACCGATCTCTTCATTCAACTCAGTCTGAAAACTAGGAAAATAATGTTGTTTGTCCTATTATAAAATCAATATGTCTGCTTTCTTCTCCTCGAAAAGAGAAAATGAAATCAAATCCCGGGTTCGAATTTTGCAAAGCAACATATGTAAATGAACTAGACTAGTGAACACTGGTGTTCCATGAACGATCTTCATGTGTTTCGCGAAAAACTGTTGTTTTACAATCTTTTTCTGATTTGGTACATTTTATGATGACAAATTGAACATATTCAAATCAAGACAAAGTCAAGTAGAAATCAAAATTCGAGCAAATGATCAAGTATTAGGTTTTTGTCAGCGTTTTGTGGTCTGATGTTGACAAACTTTTCATTCATACCTAGGCACTTCTTATCCTAAATTTAAGTAAATTTGCTACGTCTTTTTACAACTCGAGACTACAAGGTATTGTTCGTTTCGATATTTCTTTTCTATGCCAAAATTACTGAAGGTAATTATCAATTAATTGGATCGTCTATTTCCGAAAAACCCCAAACTATCATTTGATGATCTAAAAAGTCTTCGGCGGATGAAAATATATTCAACAATTCAACTCTCTTGCGCCATTTAAGAATCGCTCCAGTATTCGTTACCATGGATATGTGATACTTTTCTGAGGTTTCCGTAGCCGTTCGTTCAGTCTTTATTTGATTTTCTAGTTTCCAGTGAAAGAATATTCGAATATCTAGCGTTGCAAAGCTGAGAAATGGTAAGTTCGTTTATATATATCTACTCCATAATAGCTAAATTCTGGATTTTCTATGCCAAATTAAAAGATTGAGATAAACTTGCATGTACAAAATGTTTAATTTAGCCTCCCAAATCAGCCAATCGTTCTGGAAAATCCACTCCAACCAAGGGACAAAGTCGCGGGGGAGAAAAAGATAAAAAGAAAGATGAAGAAGATATTAAGTTACAAGAGGAAGAAGAAGCAAGAAAAAAAGCAGAACAAGAAGAAAAGGAAAGATTGGAAAAGGAGGTAGGCTATTTGAATTGGTATATACAGTAGGGTACATTTCAGCATTTCTTCGATTCCAAGATGTCCAGACATTTGGTTCAATAAAACAATCACTTTATTTTTCTCTAAAACGTCTCATATGATCAAAACTGTGAATGCTTGCACTTCCTTTTTGTTTATTGTGCAATGCCAGTTTGCAGTATGTTCCCCAGCTTTTCTTTTTAGGGGGGGTGTTTCAAAATTTAGGGGGTGGTAAATAATTTGCTATTAGAGATAAAACTAGGCTATTTGTATTCTTAAAAAAATGGTATGTATTTAAGAAACGATGTACATTGGGGCCCCCAAGTTGATTGACGGCGAGCCAGCAGAATGAATATGTATGGCCAAAAAAGGGGAGCGAGTAAAAGTGCGGGACGACACGGCTGGGGTTCAGGGCGCGCTTAAGCGCCCTGAGAAAATTTTGAGAAATAAGCTCCAAAATAGGCTCTAAGCTTGATTTTAGATACACCTAGCATCGCAGTTTGTTATGTAATGAAATCAATAATTATAATATTTAGCTGATAGAATTCTTGGGGAATAGATAACAAGCACGGCTTTCAACCGTAAATATATACTACTACGTTTCAACAAGTAATTTGCAACTGATAGTGACTAATGAAGTTACTTGCTCATCTGGCATTGTATGAATGGCTACTTATGGCTTGTTTTGTTACACATTTCTAATTTTTTTGAACAGGTTTGTTTGACTTTTGTATGAATTAAATTTTGAAATACGCTCGTCAACTGATCATAATGTCGCGTAATGTTGTATTCCTTCAGAACTGAAATATTTTGTTGGTAAGAAGACAAATCGCTGAAGTTTGATTCTTTTCAATAAAGAGATAAAAACGCTGTCATGCATCTAAAAAACGTCTGTTTTCAGTGCCTAGTTTTCGTTTTGTGACATCTTTAAGCTTTCTTAATATACGGCTGATATCTAAAATACCGCAGTGTGTTACCCTAATACCCATACGTATACATAAGATACTGGAATAATTCAATTGTTAGGAAATAAACGTGCTTAAACTGTGATAATGATGTAACAATAGACGGTATCTAAAACTCAAAAGGTACCACATGAAGGATTAAACTATTTCAATCTAAGTTCGGCGGGCCATTTTAAATCGTCACGCGGGCCGTAATTGGCCCGCAGACTGCGGTTTAGAACCCCTCAGTGTGGAATCGCACCTCAAAATTAGGGGGGGTGTTTGTTGTTTGAAATTTTAGGGGGGGTGTTCACCCCCCATAGGGGGGGTGTAGGGAAACAAACTGGCAGTTTGTCATTTTGAGTCTATACGGAGGCCCAGAGTGTCTCGTATAGGAGAAGTTTGCACCCACTGTTATAACTGATGTCTTTCAATGTGGGGGCTATTCTTGGAATCGGAGAAATGTGCCTACTGATATGTTTTGATTTGGCTTTCTATATCAGTATATGACTGTAGAGATTGCAATCTGCGCAACCAGTTTTGGTTTAAGTTCGCAAACCTTGAGTCACGAGCCAAGTCGAGTCACAGGTCATCCTAGTCTCAAGTCAAGTTTAAGTCGAAAGTCAAGCCAAATCACGGATCTAAGTCTTACTGGCTGTTAGTTGAGTCAGAGTCATTTCACTCAGATGACCCGAGTTGATTTTAGTCTTTGACAAATAACTCGTCCAACTCGAGTACTCAATATTTCTAACCAATAATGCAAACACTGCTACATCAAAGTGCTAACCATTGGCCGATCTTTTGCATAAACAGTATGTCCTGCTTTATATCTGGTAGTATTTAAATACCATTGATGAATATGGATGTTATTTCTCATCAGCTTAAAGAGAAAGAAGAACTTGCAAAGCTTGAAGCGTTAGAGGAATCACGTCGAGAACAGCAATTGAGAGAAACTGAAGATAAATTGACTGCTATTAAGAAGCATGTGGAAATACTAGAAAATGACAGAAGAGCTCATGCTGCAGTAAGAATCAAACCTATTTGAACTAAACTATGAACTTGACTATGCAGTTCAGTGCGGCACCTAGGGAATCTTATTATTTTATAACAATTTTCAAGCATAGGTTTCGCCTAGCATCGCATGGAAATCAGCCCCATAAATAGAATCTCTGTCTCACTTATATAAACTCTCAATTTTAGTCATGTCGAATACTTATAAATCTTCTGACATGATGACCGCTTCATGAATTAATCATCCAACCACATGTTTGTATCGCTCCTTCCAGTCTATACTGGAAAAAAACATTGTTCTAGTAGCTTTATATATGTATTTTTATAGTTGGTATGGAAGTTTTATTGGTTGATGAATAATAAATCTCTCTCTCTTTATTTCATTATGCAGTGGGGAAGATACATGAGATGTGATGGAAGTCCAGATCCCACCATACTTACTCAGATAAATACTTTCATTAATTTGACAAAAGAAACTGGATCAGATGAAATCAATGTTATTTTGGAAGAATTGAAAGATATTTATGCTGTAAGAACCAGTTTTTTATTCTCCATTTGCACCAGTATTCGTATCATTAAGGATATATGTATGCAATCATTCCTGATAAGGATATGTGCACTGTAAGTATGAAGCCACTATTTTTGGAAGAGAAGCATTAAAAGTATATTTCATAATTACAAGGAATTTCCTTTTTTATGTGAAGTGGCAAATTATACTATTGGAATAAATTTGATAAGTTTTGGCCATTTTCTTGCCCAACACTCAATGTTAATCTCACCGTGTTCACCAATTAATTACCAATATAACTCTATTGATTTTTCTTGTCATACAAGGAAGTTTCGAATCAAATAATTTACTATTTTTCATGCATTCTAAAACCTATTTCCAATAGATTATCAAATCTATTCTATATTTGAGTATTTTTAAAAAAGAAATCTGTGGAGAAACTATTTTAAGGTTTATTTTATACTTTCTGAAGTGTCAGAAATGCAAAAAAGTTGATATTTCTTATTTCAAATATAAGCAATTTTCAGCGCATTCGAATATTTGTTTTGGACATCCTACCATATCTATCAGTATTAATAATTGAATTTCCTTATTTCAGTTAATATATGAACTGGATTTTTTATTGGATGACACCCCAGAAGAAGATGTAACACCAGAACAAGAGACTGAATTCAAATCAACAATGCTGGCATTACAAGATCTTATTTTGCAACGATACAATGAAGGAACATTAAAAATTCTGAAAGTAAGATTGAATGGATGAATTTTTTCTTGATTATTCATTTCCCTGATCACATGAAATTTTATATCACTCCCACAGCAACAAATCTGTATGCAGTATACATTGGTAACTTACAAATTGAATATCAATAAGCAATTCAATTTTTGGCTAGTTTTCATGTCCTCACTTTGAAAAATCGTACTTAAAACAGTGTTGCTATTCAATAACAAAATAATTCAATCTACTCAGTGTTTTCCTAAATATAACTATTTTTTAAGAGATTAATGCTGCATCTTAGCATTTATATCCCTGTGATACAATGACCTGAATAATAAAACTTTCGAATTGACTATGTTAGCATCACAGACAGGTTAAAGTCTGGGATTTGAATTCCATGCCCACGACCTCACAAATTAGGTGTAACAAATTACCGGTAGGTATGTATGCAGTGCAAAAATCGACAGATACCGGTCTTCTTACATATCAGTGGCCGCTTACAAATAGACTTGTTCAGAGTGAAAAACATGTTGAACTTTTTTATGGAATAGTAATCAGCTATTTTCATATCTGACTCAGGTACTCCCGTAGTGTGTGTACCTGGTTAGGGTTAGGCCATAATTTTATTTTAATTTTCCTTATTTTAGTTCTATTAGGAGTTGGGGACTGTCTGTGTTAGAAAAGTGAATATACCCCTTGCCCATAGGTTTCAGTCCCTTTACACAACTTGATGTAAAGTAGGCGAACAAAATTAGTTACCTACATATTGGTACACACACTTCTGGAGCGCCCTGACTCTCACAGCCTAAATGGAAAATTTTTATCCATGTTTTATACTAGCCAGTGTATTATGAAACAAAATGTTTTTAAGTTGCTTGTGGACTGTTTTCTTTTTCCAGGAAGCTATCAATCAAGCTGACACTGAGAGTGGAAATTTACAAAAAGTTATCAAAGGAGCAAATGAAACTATTATGTTGTGGGGAAATCTCAATAAAAATCCTCGATTTAAATCATTTACTTTTGAATCAGAAGCTTTTACCTTTGATTTACCTAAACCATTGGCAATGGCTGAAATTGCAAGTAGGTTTCCTTAATTTAATTGCAATACAATACATCTTTTTTTTCAAAAACTCGATTATGTGGAAATAGCTCTTATAGATGTTTCGTGATCGTATAGGCTTTAACTTCTCCGAATCTTGCATCAATCGGAATTTATTGAAACATAATGCACCACCCCAATTCTCTATAGTTTCAGCAGTCTTCTCTTTTTAGTAGTCACACATTACTTCACTCAAAGATTAGTGAGTCTCTTTTGCTTTTGAGTGACTTTGCTGTGAGTAAACTTTTTTGAAAAAAAAAGGAAATTCACTTGAATACATTCTATGCAGAGCAATGGGTTAACTATGAATCAAGATCTGATTCTATAACTTGCAATTTTATGTAGAGATTGTCAACTCGGCCATAGTTCTCTATAGTTCTGTTATTGTATTGACAACTTAAGCTTACAAAAGCTATTTTTTCTGTGTGCCAGAGTTGGTGGCCTGTACATGAGTACCCTCCGAGTTTAACATTAAGTAAATTTCTATCAATACATGCAATGTATCTTTAATTTTCAGTAAGAAACCTGACAACAAAATATGATTCTTATTCTCACCAATGCTCAACATTTTATCCCAAGCAAAAAAAGGTTCAACCAGCAGGTAATGAAATTTTTTATGTCAGAGGTTGCCAAACACATGACGCTTTCACTTTCTGTATTATAAATCATGACGCATTGGAAAGGAAATTTTGGGTGAAAATGAAAAATAAAAAAATTAATTGTTATCTCGCATCTTTAGTGCTTAACATGAAAAGATATAGAAAAAATTAATATTGTGAGAAGACTATATCAGGCATTTTCATGTATTACATGGCTTAAATGTGCATGTACTCTGAAACTTTTTCTTACTAATAAATTTTAATAATAATTAATTGTGTTTTCAATTCATATTACACTGTTCTTTAAAATTGTCTATTCTAACAGAAGAAGAGGTCGTGAACCAGGAAGAAGGTAAACAGGAAGAAGTTGTTGAAGGAGAGAAAACAGAAGAAGGAGGAGAACAAGATGCAAATGAAACTAAGTCAACCGGTGATGATGGAAGAAAAGTGAGATTTTTTTTAAAAATTAAAATAATTTTTTAATCTTGTATCCTGCAAAAAATTATTAGACTATTTTAAAGTGACTCACATATCCATTAATTAAGTGCACATATATTTTTAACAAGACTTTCCTTTTCGAAATTTTATAAAAATTGAGTCAAATTTTGTTTCCATTTTTATTTTCTGTAATTTGCATAGTAAAAAGTAAATTTGTCATGAGTTTTGAAACATTTTTTTCACCCTGACATAAAATTCTTGCTTGATTTAATTTTATTGCTCTGTATGGTGGAAAATTGGACTACTGATTCGGCATGTTGCTTTTATAGAATAATTACACTAAAGACATTATGATTTAGTGTTCAATAACAGAATTTTTTTTTTTGCATCGACTAGGTCAAATATACTGCTAGCTTTTTTTGTCAATAGTGATCTATATATTGTTCAGAGTGCATTGAGCGAAACTGCTGGATCAACAAAAGAGGGAGAAGTGAAAGAAGTTGAGGGAGAAGAAACTAAAGAAGGTGAATTCAATTCACCTATGTTTTATAATCTTCACCTTTGCTTTTTGCGCTTTCTGGCCTAACTTCTGGCTTCATAAGTGTTTTTATACTTCGTTTTCACAACTAAATTCCAACCAAATTTCTGTAGGAGCAGCTGATGGTAAGTAAAGAGCAATTTCAGAACGAATGTAATCCTTCCGTTTTGACATTGCGTACCCAATTTATTATGCCCTGGTTGAGATGGTGGGCGGAGCCAGAGTTTACATATTTTCATTGGAGACGGATTCATGTTTTCCAACTGCCAGTAGTCTGAGTTGGAATTTTGACTTCACTGGACTCTAATTTTAATACTTTCTAACATGATCAAACTTCAAAGAAATCATTTTTCAACAGCAACTCAAAAGGTTTACTAAGCATTCCTTTACTCTATGAAAGAAGTCTTGCATATTCCAAAGTTTTTGTTATCTCAGTTCGAAGAGTCGAAATTTTGGTAAACCGGGGGTCATAGTCTGAGTCAGAATCAAATTTTTTCCAACATAGAAAAATTTTCCCCAACTTCGCAGCCCTGCAACTGAATGCTTCTAATAAACAGGTGATGATGCAAGTACTCCTGCACCTGAAATAAAGATTGATGAAATCGATGAATTAGATGATGATATCCTTGATGAAGACGTTGTTGATCTGAGACAATATCAACAGATAGGAGGAGTATTTCATGTTGATCTTGTAAAGCTTCCTCCACAACCAATAACAGTGAAAGGTTGGACATTGCGCCAGGTGCGAAATTTTAAATGCTATTCTGCTTGATTTTTCCAACAGATGTTCATCAATGATATTAATTCCCTTATTGATAAACTAGTGCTTAAATTCAGTTCAGATATCAAACAAAGTGGAGTACGTAATCACTGAAAAAATTTGTTGTTTATATTATTGGTTATATTAATTTTATTAAGGTTATTGATGAGCCAATCACAGTTGTTGAATATCCATCAGAAGCATTTGCACCTAAGCCGTCATCACGTGCTGCATCTGCCAAGGAAGAAAACCGAGACACAGAGTCTCCTTCAAAATTTATATCAGAACAAACTCAACCTCCACTCGGGCTTTCACTCCAGTTGCCATCCGACGTCATGTTTTTTGAAGAACCACAAGTTGCAAAATGGGATCCGGAAGGTGAATATTAGAGATTGAAAGAGATTTATATCATCACCTCATTTTCTTATCACATTATCAGGTTTTTCTTAATGCCAAGACAAATTATTCTTCTTGTTGGGCCACTACATTGTCAACGTTATGTAATCAGTGACACATTATTTGCCTTCTTCCAGACCTGTGTCAAAGTGTTTTCGTTTCAAGCTAATATCACCCCATATTTGTCTTTGAAAAAGTCTATAAAATGGCTTAAACATAATTATGGCGAACTACCCGATACTAATATGAGAAGAAAGAAGTTAATCTAACCAAAGACTGTAATTTGTTAATTAATTTTTTAGATTGTCATTGGAAAACGACAGGAGTCAATGATATTGAATACACTGAAGAAACAAAAAGCCTTTCATTCAAAACTAGAAACTTTGGAACATTTTGTCTGATGCAAGATTCGCACGTCAACATGCCATTTCAGCAATGGGAACTTCGTCCACTTGGACTCAATCACACTTTACTTACAGTCACAGCAGCTATTGCAGAAACTTTCATTGAAATTAAGGTATGTTGCCCTGATGAGATAAATCAGTTGAAGACACCAATGACTACGATGAATAATAGGTTCCCCATTGTAAATATTCTTGCGCACTTCTAAATCAAAAATTCTGTGTTCTTGATATGCCGAACATATCTGAAATATCACAGAAGCATGATGTTTATCAGACTAATATTTTGCCTGATAAGGATTTTCAGTCATGTTGCAAGTCATTTAACAAACTATAATCCTATGAATGAAGAAGTCCAGTCAAAAAAAAACATTTTTAGCTCGCATGATTCTCTGGATAGGGTTCGCCAAACTGTAAAGTTACTTATGTTTTATTGATTTTTTGCTTTTAAATCTTGACTCGTCATACAAAAAATTTAGATCTAACTTGTTTCAAAAATCATAAAAAATCCATTATTGATACGTCAATCGAAGTTTGAAACCGTGGAAAAACTAGTTTGAATACATAAAAATAAAAAAAATCTTACGTTTCAAATGCTCAGGAATCTGAATGTAGATTACAAGCACCAGAAGATGTTGATGCTCGTGCAACTGAATTGAAACACTTGTATGAAAGATGGATGAGTCCCAGAGATCTTATGATTGGATTGAGACAAGCCGGAATAAATATTTTTCCTGCTGAGGATTCAAATAAATTTGTCAGCATACAGGAAAAGGTATTGTTTGTGTATTGTCTGTATAATTTAGATATCACGACTGATATTAGCAACATCCTAATTCAATATAGTTTATTTAGCTGTTGGCATTTCAGCGACTTGCAATATTGTGGCTCAGATGATGAGCCTATATACCTCTGAGTGCAAATTACTGTGGTTTGAGCAAAAATAAACTGACAATGTCACTTACGCCTAGAATGTTATATCATAAGTAACAGTTCTGTCAACATTCAATCGTGCTAAACCTATCCTCTATCAAGTAAATAACTTCTGGAACATCCAGTAATAAGCAGAAATTTTGGTCAAAAAGCTGTTTACTGAACTGAAACCAATTATATCTTTAGATTAAAGCAGATTTCTTTTTAGCACGACCGAAAGAGTAATTGAAATGCTTTCTAGATATTGTTAACAATTCTCAATCTAATTTCAAGTAATTCCAATACAATCTCTCTGTACTTTGCACTCAACATTATCCTATTTACTGAAAGCTATACGTTTTGATATCGTAAAACCTAGATTCTATGTCAGAAGTTGTGCATAAAATAACGTTATTGTAACAGCTATAAGTGAAAAGCCTTTTGTTTGTCACTCGAATAATGAATACTGTTGTTTCTTTTTCCACCCTAAGGTGCTAGATTTGGAAGAAATTTATGAGCAAATGGGATTATTATCATCAGCTTTTGCTTTTTGTTGGAGCAAATGGAATGCATCAGTCACAAAAAATCAGATTGTGTTACAGGTAATGTCTTTTTCCATACACCGATGTTATTAATTATAAATAGTCAAATCCTTATTATGGTATTTACTATTGAAGGATGGAACAACACAGTATGGTTGAAGAGAGGCAGCAGAATGTAATTAACAAAATCATTGGGGCAAAACTGGCATGAGCATGTTTGGGACATGTTTCACCGGGTGTTTCATATAGTAGTATATTCATACTCCTGTATTATCAACTCAGCTTACAATCAGTCCATATGACCTGGTGACATGTTGTTGGCGTTATTGTGCTAATTTTACACATATTGAAACGGACTGTATTCTTCTGCCTCGTAGTTTTTTATTTTCTCCTGATCACATTTTCTTCATACTCACATTAATCTGCATTTACTGCAGCCCTACGCACCACCATATTTCTATTTGATTATAGTTACTCCTGATGAGTCCTTTACTTCTGAGAATGTGCATGATCTAGCTCCAAGCAAATTTTTTTTATGAAATTCTGATATCCAAATCTAATACTTGTCCGATTTGAATTTTCAGGTGGCACCATGGTTGGGACATGGTGACACAAGGAAGATGGAGGCACCACCAACTGATGTGTTTGTTGCTCCTGTCCCTCCAGCTCCTAAGATAACTGAAGATGACTGGAGTTTATTCTTGGTGGATGAAAGAAAAACACACAGGTGAGGTAGAGCAAGGTTATGTGTAGGATTAACTATTGTAAGTTTTATCCTATTTTGCCAAGTTCACACTCAACACAGATGTACTAAAAATGATATTTTGATTTTGTGGCAAACAATTTTAATTTTGCAATATCAATGGGATAATGAATAAACAAATTTAACATTAAATGTTACTGGTGCAATACAAAATCATTCCTTGAGTCGTGTATGCCAAGGGTTCCCACTCTCAACCATTATGTTCTTTTGATATGCTTCCTACAGTTGGTGATAAATGCAGAACATGGTTAGGCATGTTGATTGCATTTTAATCAAGACTAAAAGAGACATACCTGCGTATTTATTTCGATTTAAATGCAATACAACATACACAATTTAAAGGTAACTTTCTCAAGGTAACAGTTCTCAGGCCATGCCTAATGTAAAAGACTAGGCAGACGAACATTTATGAATTATTGTTTTACACAAAAATACTCATCATTAACAGGCTCAAGATAACCGAATATGACGATGATTTTCTACCTACTCATTCGCCCGGTGCCGAATTTCACTCCGATCTAATGCATGCAGTTATAGAAACACCGTTTTTGGAAAAACCTCATTTGCCTGTGAAAGACCAAGTACTCGATCGTATTAATTCTTCCGATAAAGTTTTTGTACATACTGTGATGACCTTATTGAAAGCAACGAAGTGCATTACATATTCATAGATTTTTCAGACTGCATGATTTTATTTAAATTTTTTAAAATTTATATTTTATACAAGGAATTGTTTCACATGATTGAGGCTATTTTTGGCTGTACACCCCGGAGTGGAGAGATATAAAGGGACTGATGCAATTAATATATTTTAGGTAATTCAGCATGCCCAGGTTTTAAGTCTTACTTCAAACTGCTTCGCCGATAGTGTCGCTAAAAGTTCATTTCCTGATTTTATATTAAAATAGGAAAGTTGACACAGAGTAATTTCAACAGAATCGCACACTCTTTACCAGAGGATTAAGCTTCCAGCCCTCAATAAATACAACTCTGCTCACAAGTAGTATTTAAATCACCATCATTGGTCCTATAGCCAATGAAGGATTCTTTTTTCAGGCTAAGTGTGTGCTGCTGCTAAAGTGGTATGTGACGTAATGGTGGAAATAAATCTGTTATTATCACAAATTTTCTCCTATTTACATCTGGCCTTTGTATAAATTGCATGTCAAATCAGTGAGTTCGAAAAACAACCTTGAATTTTAATACTAAGTTGCCTGGCATGATGTCATATCATCTGATTTTATATTATTCATCATTCTATTCTCTATCGTTCAAGCAGCCCTTGGCATCACAATGGGCTGTCCACAACTTTGCTACAACCTTTGTTTCGCCAAAGGCACTATTGCAACTTGCAAGATCATATACTGGAGTCCATTTTTGAGCAGATTGTTTCGATGGACACCATAGATACATGCACACTGTCTCGATACTATGTCGTCACTCGTCATGTATGTTGTTTTAAATTTGAACAAATGCTCTACCTATATGATATACCTGTCTGCAAATACATCTTGCAAAAGCATAAGCAAAAAACATTATATTTGACATCTTTTAAAACAGTCCCAAAAACTTGTGCACTCGAATACTGGACATGATATTGCATTCGATATCACAATAATTATCTGACGAGCAAATGGTCAGTTCACACGACGCAAGTGTGCGATTGTCAGTGGAATGGAAGTAGTTATGATATGAAGTTATGATAGACCACGGGATGATAAGTGAAATGCTAAAGCTAGACAGAGTTTTCATAGTATATGAAAATTAAGCAGCAATTAGACATGAGCTGTCTTGGAGAACATTGTAAACCTCATTAACCGTGGTACTTACATAATTTGTTCCGATAGGCTCTAATTGTACTCTGGCATTATTCAATTAATATTGGAGCTAGAGTCATCATTTTATACTCTCAGAGTCTGGTGAAGACCAAAGCTCTGTGCCTCTGTTGGCAATGCATACTAAAATGTGCTGAAAATACTTCAATACGGATTACCTATGGAATTGCAACAAACAAGGTGACATGAATCGAAAAATAGTATGGTAATTACTTCGTGAAATCATTGATTACTATGTGTTAGGATCAAATAAAAAGACATCAAGAGAATTTGATAAAATAGTATTAAACAAGGCAAAAATAATATTAAGCAGATTAAAAGGAAAGAAAATATTTAATATTATCATTATTTACAAGTATTCACACGAAGACAAAGATAAGCTTCGAATGCACAACCTTTAGTCCACATGTGTATGTGCAGAAACTTCTTACAGAAATGATTTTGTGAATGAACACAGAATGAAATTCACTTCCTACTTCCTTGAAAGTTCAAAGTCCAACACATTTATTTCATAAGAGGCACTTTGGTAACATCAAATCATAATAGTGAGTATTGAACAAATAAATGTGCTGTTACAAACAGATGCATTTTACTTCGCTAGTGAATTTAATTTACTAAAAACAATGAAAACAGATTTTCTGGCATAATTCAGATTGGTTTCTTATATAAGCATACAAATTGATCAGCCTTAAAATCCATTCAACCCTTCTCTTCCCAGTTTCAGAAAGATTGAGCGAACTGAAAATCACTATTTCAATATGAAAAATGATGATTTCAAAATCTTTTGTCAAGGTGAGATAGACATTACCTCATACTGTTATCAAAGTATAACCCACATATAGATTTCAAAATTGAATATAGCAAAAGCACTGATATTAGATCATAATATAATAAAAATACAACCATGAGGCAGGATGTAAGCAAAATAGACATATTGAATATTTTTATCTCCATGAATACAGGTTTATGAAACTGGTAAGTTTATGTTGTAACCTACATGCAGGGCTGGGGAGCCGGAGCTGTGGTGATTTGTTGGGGCTGGAGCATTTAGAGATGGAGGTGAAGTAGCTCCAGTTCAAGTAAATTGATCCCGTTCAGCTTATATTTTCAAGTTGAATTTTAGAATGTGTGACACTTATATCATGGTTGCTTAAACCCACTTTCACAAAACCTTATTTCAGCTAATATTTCATGGTACAAAGTGAAAAAGTTAGGCTCTGGAGCGCAGCTATTATGATTTGAAATGAGTCCCCCAGTCCTGATTCCATGTCTGTTTACAGTATGTATGTTCCAAAATTTTTGATTAATTCAATCCAATTTTCACATTAACAAGGAACATTTGAGACCTACAGGAATTAGTGCAAGGTAATATAATAACATTTATTGGTATGAAATAAGAATCAAAAAGTTATCGATAATAAGAATAAAATTGCAAAATATATAGGATAATGATTAGTTCAGAATTAAGTAAACATAATTTCGCACTTGGAAACATAGGTTATTGTCGGCCAAGTATGAAGTATGTAAAAATCAAGTCAAAAATAGAATTTCACATGATTCACATTTGGTCCACACAAAACTAAACCAAGAAAAAGATGGACGTAATTTAATTCATTGGCGAAAAAATAAATCTTAATTGATCTGAATATCAATTTTAATTGATTATTCCATGATAGTTGAAATATACTGTTGATAGAAAAAGATGAAGTTAGGAGAAAATCATGAAATTAAATTAGTATTTACCGTAATTATCACCATATAATAAATAAAAACAATTTGCTGCCTTGGGGTAGGGATGTCCATTAATTGTCTGTGCAAAATAAAGACAAGGAACCAGTAGCAATTCAAGCGTGGCCAATCAAAATACAATAAATTTGATGGACTTCACGCAATCGATTAGGTTTTGGGAAAAATCAACTAACGAGATTGATAAAGTATGTAACAAATCAGTTTCAAAAACAAACTTTACAACCATAGTATGTAATTCTTTAAGACAACTGAGTGAATATTAAGGAATTTGAAGTTATGTGTTTCAAGCTTACGTATATTCATAAAAACCTGATCAGAAACATAAATTAAAATCTCTTCAAATAATTAGTATTTTTGTATTATTTGAATTTTAATTTAGTTGAAAAATAACTAAAGGTATAATAATAGGTCTCAATAGTTGAATAAAAAAATTGCGTAATGTCAATTCATTTTTAATGTAGTGAGTATTTTTGGAGTTGTAACATGATCAGAAAATAAATTTCAATTTATAAAAGATACTATAAAACAAATATATATTTCTTTAAGCAGAACACAGTCAGTGATCTTACTTTCTACATGTCCGTATAAGAAACACATCTCTTTTTAACAAACACAGTTGTTCACTTTGTCTAAACGACAAATAATTCACTGTATGTACATAGTTGACATGGAGTAGTTTACAGACCAGCCAATAAATTTCAACCAAACCTAACTCTTGTGTGTTGACTTAACATTTCATAGCGAGATTACATTCTTCGAATATTTTTGATATGTAAGCAATCGATGTGACAAGCTTTTCATTGAGCAAATTCAAGAGTATTATGGAATGTCTTGTATACGATCGCTCGGTTTTCAATTTTGCTATGATATATATTTGAATCAAAGATATAAATATTTCAAGTGAGGATTTTGAATATTTGCAGGAAGTTTACAATTTTAAGATGGAAGATCAAGGTACGCCATTTTGGGATGCCGATATCTCGATAATCTGGTAATTTGGATATTATGTCTCGCGAGTCGCAACTCTTTATGATTTTTATTTTTGTAAAAGTTGAATGACCAATGTCAAAAAAATATTAAATTATGTCAAACTTTGCCATGTCAAATTCAACGCAGAATAAGCAGATTTTATAGAAAAAATTCAACGCAATATTACAATTTGAAGAAGAAAAAAAATATTTTCAAAAGCATTAGTTCGAATTGGCATCATATTTTTCCATGAATGAAACTCATGCAAATAACTTAACCATGTTCATTTCAACCTTAAATAAACCAAAATAATTCATTTTGAAATGTCAAATGCCTACTATAATAGATTCAGGAAAGGAATGCTTTATATACAAAACTACGCGTATGAGTTGACCACAAAATATCAATCAATAACACTTAGTATCTGAGGACATATATGTTGATCATATAGCTGGCAAAATTATGTCTACTAGACCATATCATTGTTGTGCAGAATACACGATAATGAAAATTTAAGAAGTGCAATAATTTAATGCATTTTTCAAGTATATATAGCATATTAGTAGATGGATCACTTGTCAAGACTATTTTTGAAGGTTTAGTGAAAAAAATATTTATTTGCAATAGTATGACATAATGATTTGGGAAAAGCATTCACAAACCAATTCTTTATTTGTTTATGAATATTTCCTCATAAACAAAGAAAAAAAAACAGAACAGGAGACAAGATTCCAAATATACTCAGGTCAGGTACTATCTAGTACTATAGTGCCTCCAGAAGTACCAAATTAAATTGCTTCTTGAAGTATGTTTAAACAAAATGATCACCAATTACTGTGTCCATGAGAAAAAAAAGTTAAATAATCGCGTTTGAGAGGATTCTCTTAATGATCTTTACACAAGAGTGAACAGCGGACAGTAAAAGAATACTGCATTCTAATATGAATAGTCAAGCAACTAAATTCATTGAGTTAATATTTTGACTCGTTGCCAGCTATATATAGTATCTTCGAAAATGACAAGAATTAGTGTAAAGAATTGATTGGAATTCTGATGTATCAAAAAAACTTCTAAAAATATTTTGTCGACTTTCTATCCACGCTGGTTTATTGAAGGAGACGTAGTTATATTTGGATCAACAATAAATCAGTTTGATTGTCCAAAATAATAAAAATTTAAAAATAATTAGAATATTTAGAAATGGACATCCCCACCTAAGATTCGAAAGCATCTTTAAACAAAGAAACAATATTTCATGCTTGGCCCTCAGTTGGAAATAAATTGATATTTCATAGTAAGATTACTCTGCATAAACCAATCAACAATATTCAGTCATTTGATTATTTTTAAATAAAAAATAAAAGCTAGAGGCGTGATATTGGCAGATACATCTTAGGTGTTTTTGGCCTGCTCCATGCTGTCTATACGGAGAGCAGTTTAGTCCACAGGATCACCGACCGACAACACGCCTACTTTAGCATTGAGCGTACAACTGGGAGGTGCAGCATTGCCTCGGCCTACAACAGTTGTTATATGTTTCTTGTTGTTTTTATTTTCACCAATTTTCTTGTTATTTTTTAGTTCCCGGTATTATCAATCAGATCTACGTGTGTGAAAGGAAACGTCCCAGAACGATTTCCAACCCTGCCTTCCCACTGACCATTTTTATTCATCTTTGTAACCAGTATCATGTCCCCAACCTGAAAAATATAAAATTCAAATAATTGGAAATTTGCTAGGTTGATCCGATAAAGTTGAAAAATGTAAGACTGAAAGCCTTGTTCCAACGTTAGATAAATGATATCTGAAAACAGCTATGATTAAACAATTATGATTATTGTTGTATCCAACTCTGTTGGATGGGTGCTCCCGAAGTATGCGAACCAAGATGGCGGACATCGGAACGTAACATGGGTAACAGGTTAGGGTTAGGCGATAATTTTTTTCCAATTTTCCTTATTTTAGTCCTATTATCAGTTCGAAGACTAGCCAAGAGCCTCCCGTAGTATTTATATCTAAAATTATGGCCTAACCCTAACCTAGTACACATATTACATTCCGATGTCCGCCATCTTGGTTCGCATACTTCGGGAGCCCCATTGGATGTCTACTAGAGTCTAGAGCGGGAACCAAGGGCAAATATAACTGTTTTTGGAGGGAAAATTTTACCTGGTATTTGTAGGTATTGACTATTTATTGACTTATCTACTATTACTGTAACACATATTTAGGCACATACAATAAACTATTCAAACTATACAAGTTCTGGATGTTGAATTCACTACATCATAGATGTTTTCCTAACCGTTTTGACTTGAAAAGAATCAAGTATTGTGGAAATCTGGTTTAACAGGAGTACAATGACTAATTCTATATAGTTTTAGCAGTTCTTGCAAGTCCATAACTTTTGATCAGAGATGAGTCTACTCCACTTCTGGTTGAGAAATTGCAGTGTTAAGTAACATTGTCAGTTAAAGTACTACGGCATGTGATTTTATAAAATGCATAAAAATAAAACAAATTTTACTCTCAAGTCTCAACAATTGTCTTAAATATGGCAATTTGGAATATTTAGATACGAATAACTCGTTAGTGAAAAAGGGGATCTAAAAATGCCTGGAAATGTCTCCAAATATAAGCATTTGTGGATTGGTATCAGAGATAGAATGCGAAATTTCATTGTAGCCCTCTTGATTTGATCTTTAATTAACAGTAGCAACTGTAAAACATCTCCAACATTTCAAATAATGTGAACAAATCCAATAATTTACATAACCATTTACATAACCCATGTCGTAAAACTGATGGTTTGTTTATATAATTTCATAATCATAATAATATATCAAAACAAGCTTCAAATTTGAGATAAAATATTTCAGAAGTAGGAAATAATACATATGTAGTGACAACGAGAAAAAGTGACGTTTTGATTATTTGTTTAGCACACATGACCAAAATCTATGATAGCTTGAAAACATTAATGAACGAACATCAGATTCTAGATGAAATATTGTAAAACTATACTCTCCGCAACTTCACAGAAAGTAAATGTGAGTAAATAAATTTATTTAATGAGGTATTCTTGGGCATTAATTTTTCAAAAATACATAAATTTTTCTAAAATAGGATTATCAAAAACATAACACCATGTTATTATTGGGGGATTATCTTCACCTTAGTCAGGTAATATTATTGTCTGTCATGAAATATGACATTGTATTCAACTTATTGTCTACAATGACTCAATTTCCACAGAGGATGCCACAACACAAGTATAATAGGTTATGCTCGTATATCACAAAGTCTTCCAATGACATCACTGGTAAACTGCTAACATAATAAATAACAATTCCGATATAACCATCAATTTGGACTCCAATTTGAGCTTGTTTTAGTATTTAACACTCCCAACATGGCACACTTTTCAGTTTCTCAGAATTTTTATAACGAAACTTTAAACAGTGTTTGGCACATGTATCACCATTTTTCATTTGTGCTGGTGACATTCGAACACGTTTATAAGAAAGTTTTTCCATGAGCATTGTACCTGATTGGCAATACACATCTTGTGTAGCTGATCTGAAAAGAAAATCTTCTGACTGATATGTCAGTACAATATGCTCTCTATGGAGGAGGTCATTCAAATGGCAATAGGAACCATATAACCATCTTCAAACCTAAGTAAGATTGCTGAGTTAAAATTTCGCTAAGCCACAAAAATGAGCTTGTGCCAATGTAAATCAACAGCAATAATTCATAATTTATTTTCCTGCATCATTCCAATTTCCCTGATTTTTTCTCGCCAATCTATAGTGGCACACGAGAAACATTAGCTTCACTTTGCTATGTCTTTCAGAAGCTTAGACTATTATTCACATTTTCACAAATAATTCAAATAGACAAAAGACAATCAATGGTATCTATCGTATCTACAATTAAAGAGTTCTATTTTATTTGAAAATAATTATGAGTACGAATGAGGCGACAGCGATCACATAAAATCATGTTCAAACTAGATTTGTTATCAGAATGAACTGCTGTTGACTAATGCATTTTATGTATTCCGCACTAGGTAGGAATTAATACTCTCTACTGTGGGCATCGGTCCTTAGCATGGGATACCGGTCTCAAATCAATTTCTATTTTGGAGCTTAATGAGGGACTTGTATCATGCAAGTCATTGGAGTTCATAAGTATAACAAACTTTCAATCAGTGTTTCATTTTAGATATACCTGGGGATGGTCAATACAGAACAATTTACTACTCCTACTAATGCTTTCGAATACGAAAGACGTTATGATCGAGTACGCAATATCCAGAAATCAAATCATTTTGGCACCGATTATAATACAGGTAGTAGTCCTATAGTTTATATTAAAATTTTCCCAACAACAAAACCCATTTGGATGACGATACACATATTTTTATATCAAGAGTCAAAACAATATGGCAAGTACCTAATACCCAGACAGAAAATCACCTTGACTCATGTTACAACTACAGTTTCCAATAATTAACCGACATGTTCCAAAAGGACGAGAATGGTTTAAATATAGCTTTTGAAACTGGAACCTTTCCCATCTAATGTGACATGACTACTGCACACGATACTGCTGCGTACAACAACAGATAATTGACGTTATTAATCAATAAATTGACCAATTAGAAACAAGGATCTACTCTTACAATTTAGGATCAGAAACAATGAATAAAATCCAGCTGAGCAGATATGAGCATCCCTTTAGTTCAACAGTGTAAAACACCTCGCCTTTTATGAGTAAAGAATTGGAAACTAATACCTCATTAAACAACAGCATCTAATATACCTAATTTTGTATTCTAATTATAATAAAACTAAGTGAGATTGATGGGAAACTATTCCACTATTGCTGTTTTATGATCATTATTCACAATTTTGGATATTTTTAACAAATACCATAAATGTGATATTGTGATTCACTCCTAAAGAATGCATGTGGGTGCTTACTGGTGTCATTTTGAGATAGTTACACTTACAATGCATAGTTGACAACAGTAACCGCTTGAATGAGGAAATTTATTTTCTTTATGACTATGAAAATCTTTACTTTAGCAATTGCATAAATCAAAACTATACGTTAATAAGGAAAAAACGATAATATAAATATGGATACAATTTTCCTTTGGGGTAAAACATAATACAAAATGAAGTCATCTTACTTCGAAAGCTAGTGAAGATGGGTCATATGCATTCGGCACTCTCTTCATTTTCGCTCGAGCATAGACTGCTGTTTTTGTTACATCAGGCATTGAATGTCTGTTTAGCTGTAATAGATAAGAAGTCGCAATGAATCAACTGATATCATACATATCATAATAGTGATAAATGTATTTTTTCTGGTGCAAAATTGACTTAGTATATTTATGTCTTCAGTATTGGTAATTCTATATCATATTATAGATAGTAGATATTGTGTGATATACAAAAATCAGAGCATCGGAACAAAATACATTTTCGAGACTTTCCACAGAGGTTTATAAGCTATTTAAATTACAAACAGATAGATACAGACAATAAAAGATGGCTTTATACCATACGACCATACATAGGAACATTTTTGAACACTATAAATAAGAAAATATGATAAGGAAAATCTTAGTGATCTCTAAATACAATCCATTCTATATAACTTATTTCTTCATCTTACTGTGATAAAATAAGTGAGAATAATTTGAACTGAATAAGATGACAAATATCATGTAAATAGGATTTAGGAATTAAAACCAGCCAATATTAAACAATTTGCAACAGAAAATGATATTTTATACAATAGTAATTCCAAAATATAAAAGATTGCACCATTACTGAACATAAAAACTACAATTTTAATATTCTATAGTCATCATTATACGAGTATAATGCAAATCAAATAACAACTCATGTAAACCATGATCTAATTTAGTAATTATTAATTGATAATGATTAAACGTTTAGAGATTAATCAGCTGAACTAGTTGACCTATTGACAACATAGCCCTAATTTATAAGCTGTGGTACACATTCCACTATTTCAGAATGCAAAAGATTCATATTCAGTTTAAAACATATAAAACTTCCGTTCCTGAAAGAGTGCAAAATAAAGCAAGGATTATAGCAGCACAAATTGTGCTCATAACAACCATTGCCTGTCAAAAAATTCCTTTACATTACAATATATAAATCAATGTCAGAGAATGTTAATTTACTTAATAACAGATCAACAAGAACGAAAAATCACCTGAGCTAGTCCAGGTTGTTGATATGCTGGCATTGATTTTCTGTTACTTGGATTAGGAACAAATTGTTTGACATATGGTACTGGAATTTGGCCTGTCTGTCCCTGTAATTAATAACAATATAATGCATTAAATTATATCCAACTAATTATTTATAATGAGATAATTAGAGACAAAAAGTAAACAAGGCTGTAAATTATCTCATAAAGATTCCCATTTAAAGGTTAGTTTCTTGTATTATAACTGAAGATACCAAAGAATTCAGTTTAAACAAAATTCGCACCACACCCAGGGGGTAATAAATAGGGAAAGCAAAGCTGAACGAGAGAGATTCCAGATTCCTCACAATTGTTTCAGTGGCTACTTATGCAGGGCCTTGTTCAAAACAGGCATTAGAAAGTGTAGTATAAGATGATACAATATGAATCAATCTCAATTATTTAAAGACATAATCAATTGGATTGCACAATACTAGAATATAAACTATTCAGACATAGTCGTCTCAAACGATAACAAAAGAATATGACTCTTTTTAAATATTGGATTGAAAACAAAAGGCATCTCTAACAAAAACTGTTCCAAAAGTGATTAATATTCACTGTGGGACAAGGTGAGTAACTATATATATTTGTTTTGTTTTGATGAGCACAGGATGCCAAAGAAGTTCATGAGTGGTATTCAGTATTCATATGAGCAAGAATTTCCTTTCAATTATGATCATTGTCAAATTTTACAAAGCACACATTTCACACACCGTTAATCAGATTTTGCAATAAAATAGATCAACTGTACAATATTTATAGTTAAACCAAATAAAAGGGTTCAAATCAAAGAATCCGCTATTCTGAATATATCCTGAAAAAATATTTTTGAATACAAAATAACGAAAAAAAGAGAAATTTGTGTGAATCTAGAGATTGGATTGTGAGTGAATAGGATCCAGGAGAGTTGGGTGTTAGTCAAAATTTTTCTCAGCTCGCAGTCAGGAATCAGACCCAAACTTTTATCCAAGTTGGAGTCGGGAGTAATAAACCAATGCTAAATTTCCCCAAACTTCATCACCTTGCTTATATTTTATCAATGACCAGAACAAGTATTTTTTCTACCCGTTTCAGTAAAACTACTGATAAAAAATGAATAAAAGACCAATACCGATTACAGTACCTTTGTGTTCCTGGCAGTCCACCAGTTTTCTTCTGGTTTTCCAATAATTTCTAATACTTCCCCTTTGACAAATGGTAGGTCTTCGCCATCATCACTTTTAAAATCAAATAAAGCAACAACATTTTCATTCAACTCTTTCTGTAAGTTTTGTACTCCACCATTTTGCGAAGGTCCATCCACGACAGACTGCTGCTCTTCTTGTTCTGCTATGGATGGTTGTATTAGCGTAGTCGTATCCAAATAATGAACTTTGTAAAATTCTAAAAGTTCTGGTAGATCTCCAAAATCTTGTTCGCCTATTTTAAGCCTTCCGTTCACTTGGTTTATAATGTAGTGGCTCACTTTGCTATTTTCACTAACAGACAAGACATAGTCACCAATGCATGTATTACTGTCTCTTACAAGGAATGTGCCGTGTGTTTTTCCTTGTAATCTTTTTTGTGTATCTTGGCGACTCAATTTTCCGCAGTACCATGATGCACGATCAGATGAATTAAATGAAGCAGCAGCCATTATAATGACTGACTAAACACCACAAAAACTTAAAAGAAATATAACAACTGTCAGTTAATTATTTTCAACTTCCCAAAATATTGCAACCTTCAAACAGAAAAAAGCACTCCTTTTGTCATTAGATACCCTTAGAATGAATAAATCCCCATTCACATCTACCAGTCTACAACATAAAAGATGAATGCAGATATAGCCAATCATATTTACGCTCATGATGGCACATCTAAGATCTCGATCAAAGAAACATGCATCTCGAATGCATAGAATTAAAGCAAGCTTGCTCCCTCCCTCATATTTTCACTTCACTCATGAAATTCGTTATAACCGCATCATAAAGTACATTTTACTGTTACCGGTAACTTTAATTACTTATTACAATCTGGACTATAATTTGGCAATAATAGGCTCTAATTTGGGGAATGAAATGGTCTCGCCCACCTCTCCATGCACCCAATTCTGGCAACTTTGGTTGGGCAACTTGGCATTTGACTCCAACTATATTCAGCTTGGCAATATGTTTTCAATAGAATCTTCGTTATATTTTAATTAACGATAAGAAAATCGATCAATTTGGCAATGGCAACCATTACAAAAATATCAATATGGTGTGGCAAATAATTTTTTTTCTTTTCTAGTATTTATCTTTTTTTTGTTTTTTTTTTGTTTTTGTATAGTATACCCTAAATTTATCGCGTTTTATTCTTACTTAAATAACTTCTCAGTGGTTGTGTGTGTGGCTGGTGGGTGCATGTGAGCGTGTGTGAAATAAGTTAATAATTTTACGTGAGTAAACACGTACCACTTCATCTTGGCAAAACCTTCCATCTTATATTTTGTACGTTATAAACCTTATCTAAGGTTTCGTTTGCTCCCCTGATTTCATAATCAGTTTTTATTTATTTGTTTTTATCTGTCAAATGTATTGTTATGTTGATTATGGAGTCGAAATAAACTTATACTTATGGGGCCTGTTTTGTTATTTTCCATATAATTACGGTACCATACCAGAAGATGTTTTCAAAATAGAAAAAAATGGCGCTTAGTGCGTTGCTAATCACAGAAAAGAGTGAGAAGTGTGTGAGAGAAAAGTGAGGAGCTACCGTAATCACAGAAAAGAGTGAGAAACCCAAAATGGAACAGACATAGCTATGACAGACAAAAAAAAATACCCGAAACTTTCAGCAATTTGAGAAATAGAAAGCTTTGTTATTCGTATATCGATTCCAATTAAGTATTTCAAAACCGGTACCGTAACTACCGCACTGTAACTAGGAATACCGGTAATATTAAATGCCGTTTTCTCCAAACACTTTTTCTTCGAATTGTGTTCCATACGGTACCTATCCAATTTTCGCTAGGCCAAAATTATTTGATAATATAATACTACACATCATTTGGCCACTTTTTGATGAAGATTTAACTCATATAACCCACCATTTTACACAAAATCGCCAAAAAAACAGATCTCTTCGCTGGCTGCCGATACTGAACTTAAGCCGCAAACGCCCGGAGCAAAATTTCTATGCTATAAAAGTTTTGGGCTATATCGACATCTAGTGGTAATTAGCCATACATCATCGCATTTATATGATCAGTGAAAACTGGGCTAAGAGTTATTGGACACATAGTGGACATAGCGATCGTTTCAATATTATTGGACACGTAGTGGACATAACGATCGTTTCAATATTATGTTGTTGTTCTTGTTCTTGTTCTTGTTCTTTGACACGTTTTTAAAAAGTCGCTTTTCTCTTCGAATACTGGACCAATTGCTTTGAAATTTTCAGTGGTTAAAGATTAATTTTTTCGCTAGAAGGCTATTACTTTTGTTTATTCTTAAATTTTATATGAATCCTATGAGATATGATATTTCATACAAAATTTCGCGGTATTTATTTTTACTCATGGGAACACTGTTTTACACTTATTTCAAGCGGTTTCGCGATCGATTGTCTTGCTCAGTACTACAGCTACTGTAGGTCGGTACTGGTAAGTTGCCATACAGGTATCGTAACGCAGTGAAATTGACTTATTCCTTCCGCGGTATTACTAATGCTGCAATGCAAGTTTTATAGCCTATCGTATGCGGAACGGAATATCAGACCTACAGGTTCGGTACCGGTACTGGTAGCTCAGTACGTAAGTACGATACTGGTACTGGTGCCGGTACCGGTGTCTTACCACAATGAAATTACCGTAACTTATTCTTTCACGGTCCTACCAGTGCAGTAATGCAAGCGTTGTAGCACTTGTAGCCTACTATATTTGTTTATTGGACACGTAGTGGACATAACGATCGTTTCAATATTATGTTGTTGTTCTTGTTCTTGTTCTTGTTCTTTGACACGTTTTTAAAAAGTCGCTTTTCTCTTTGATTACTGGACTAATTGCTTTGAAATTTTCAGTGGTTGAAGATGAAATTTTTCTCCAGAAGGCTATTACTTTTATTTATTTCAAATATTTCTGTTAGCTCTGTAAGATTTGTTTTTGTTTGCTATGACGTCACTAAACGTTCTGCGGTTATCGGACGCCATTTTGTGTCCAACGGACCATCTTGCAATTTCAATTCACGCTGTCACAAGACAGGAGTTCTGGTACGTTAACACAGCGCGGTGACACTGAACTAATCGTAGCTGTTCAAAAGCTTGAAAAATCCATACAAATATGAGAAATAAAAAGATGAAACTTGGCAGGTGGGTAGAGTTGTGTTTCTTTTAACCATATTTTGAAAGTTTCGCGTTTCTACATTTGATAGGAGGGGAATTAGGGGGTGTGCATTTCCGATACGTCGATAATATCTTTGTCAACCAATTTACGGCCACCTGTTTTCGTCTGTTTGATTTGCTGTGTTGTGGTGCTTTGTTTATAATTTAACGGAGTTTTGTTCGAAATAACCGTGTTCTTGAAATATATGACGGTCAGAAATGCAATTAGAAGCCCAATGTTTTTCACGCTGTCACAAGAACCAACAATTGTCAACCAATTTGCGACCACCGTGTTTTGTCTGTTTGATTGCTGTATGGCTGCGTATGCTATAGTCTCGACGCAGCATAAACGATGATCAAGGCTTGAAATCCGTGGTCGCACACTGGTCGTTCGGTCGCAAATACGTCTTTCGAGTGCCGTACTTTGGGGATTTGTATAGCTTCAACCCTTTGTCGTAGAAAGTTAATACGAGGTTTAGCGTGTAGAATAAATGCCGCCAATGCACCCACGGTGAAAAAATTAACGGGTTAGATATATTGGTTTTTGTTTTATAGCGGTTTGAATGAAATTGTCCGCAGACTGGCTTACACCACCCTAGGCCTGGTGAGTTGTCCGTGTAGTCGAATTGGCCATCAGCCCTAAACGGCTATGACAGTCACTGTACCAAAAATTTGTACCCCGATTCGGCTTGCGTGTTAAGTTGACGCATGTTATTTAGTAACGTTTTTATCTGAAAATGTTTGACTGTGGTTCGGACCTGATCCGATAATACGGTACATAATTGACTCATATCACGAGATATTTCAACTGATGTTTCAATTGTCACAGGAACTAAAATAATCTATGACAGTCCCTGTACCGTCACGGTACCCCGATACAGGTACTGGTAAGTCACCGCCGGTATGTTAGTCGTTTGGTCACCGCATATGATTTTTGGGGAATTGTTCTGCGGTGTTCATATATTTGAGCATTGCTCTCTTGTTTTGATGAGTCTACTGGAAACAACATAAAATTTGAAAGGGAAGAATTGTTCTGTGATCAATTATCTGTCTAAAGTGTAAACAACATAAAATTTGCAAGGGAACAACTGTTCTGTGATCAATTACCGTATATGGCCTACAGTGTACAGGTAAGATGCTGCCTGACTGCTAACTCAGTACCGCTTGACACGTTTTTAAAAAGTCGCTTTTCTCTTCGAATACTGGACCAATTGCTTTGAAATTTTTAGTGGTTAAAGATAAAAATTTTCTCCAGAAGGCTATTACTTTTTTTTTCGCTATGACGTCATCAAAATTATGTGACTCTACGTGTCCATATATTTGAGCATAGCTCTCTTGTGTTGTTGTTGCTCTTGTTCTCGTTTTTTGACACGTTTTTAACCCTTTCCGTGCGGTGGGCACGTATACGTACCCACGACAAAACTCGCTAGATTGCGGCGGGTACGTTGATGTACTCCACTGTTTTATTTAGCAATCGGTCGCAAACTGTTGGTCTAGTTTTTCCGGGTTTTAGTTTATTGATAAGAAGTCTTCTTTGAGATTAACATAAGCGACGTTAAATCTCGCTTTCGTTTACCATGGGAATTTTATTTGCGGCGGAACGAGGGAGTGTTTTTGAAATTTATGCAAATTTCGGTGTTTTTTGGGTGATAATAGAAGACATATTATCCCTTCCATCTACCAAAGTATTTTGAGCTAGATAACGAAATTGCTACAGCAATATTATGCTATTGTTTGCCAACCAAGAAGCGGTAACAGTAAAGGATTTAGCAAGTATTTCTATTTTTTATCACGGTTTGAAGTTTCAACACCCAAGAAAAAAAAATGCCTTTTTTCTATCCGGTTTGTGACTCAGACCACCCCTTTTGAAAAAAAAAATTTTTTTAATCGCCATTTGCAAGCTCTTTAAATAAGCTTTCCAACGAGCCGTCAGTGGGCAGCAGAGGATCATTACTTTTTCGTTAGTCGATCGATTAGTTGTGGGGGTACAAATGCATAAAGTCGGCGTAGCAAATACGATTATTTAATAAAAAATAAATATCGCATGGAAAGGGTTAAAAAGTCGCTTTTCTCTTCGAATACTGGACCAATTGCTTTGAAATTTATAGTGGTTAAAGATAATATTTTTCTCCAGAAGGCTATTACTTTTATTTATTTTTAAATTTTCTATCAATTCTATGAAATCTGATTATTCATTCAAAATTTCGCTGTTTTAAAATTTACTCATAGGTACACTGTTTTGAAAACTATTTCAAGCGGTTGCGGGATCAAGCTTGCAGCTACGGCTCTGCTAAGTTACCGGTACCGTACCACAGTAAAATTGACTTATTCTTTACGCGATCTTACTATTGCAGTAGTGTAGGTTTTCTA